TGGGAGCTATAGAATACGGTTGGTTCTGACTGAAATACCCTCTAAAAATTAAAAATTTATAAATATACCCCCAAGTGTCCACAATTCAATAGTTATTAAATATACAGACTAGCAATACACAATGTTGCGCTATTTATTTGGTACCAGACACTTTCAAAAACTATTACTAGCAGCCCACGGATTGTCTATAAAAAATCTACGTTATTTATTAGTATAAGAGTAGCGTATAAGGTTACTTATAGACGAACTTAGACTTTGACGAACTGCTCGTACGTATAACAATATACCACAAATCACATGGAATCAGGAATAACAGAAAGTATTTTGTGTGTGTCTCTCTTAAAGCTAACGAGCTCCCCCATGAGCGTGTCCTGCCCTCAAGTGGGCACCACTCGTTCCAGCACCAGCACCTCCTCCGCTACGTTTCTCCGATCCCGATTCGGAACCACCACTCTGCTCCGCGTCCAGATTCTTCAGCTGCTGCTGCCACATGTCCGCATAGATGCCATCCTCCCGCAGCACGAGCTCCTCGTGCCTGCCCCGCTCGGCGATGCTTCCCTGCTGCAGCACCAGGATCTCGTCCGCATGGATAATGGTGGACAGGCGGTGGGCAACAATGATGGTGGTGCGATTGGCGCAAACCCGGGCCAAAGCAGCCTGAATATTCCGCTCCGTGTGGGTGTCCAAAGCCGAGGTGGCTTCGTCCAGGAGCACAATGATGGGCGCCTTGAGAAGCGTTCTGGCGATGGCCACTCGTTGCTTCTCGCCTCCACTGAGTCGCAGACCCCGTTCGCCCACCTTTGTCTCGTAGCTGTCCGGGAAGCCGAGGATCCTGTCGTGAATGTCGGCGGCGCGAGCAGCCTCGTAGACAGCCTCATCGGAGGCGCCCAGCTTGGCGTACTCGATGTTGTAGAAAATGGTGTTGTTGAACAGAACCGTATCCTGGGGCACCACGCCAATGGCCTTTCGCAGACTCTGCTGCTGCACCAGCTTGATGTTTTGACCGTCGATCAGAATGGCTCCCGTCTGCACGTCGTAGAAGCGGAAGAGCAGCCGCATAATGGTGCTCTTGCCGGCTCCCGAGGGTCCCACAATGGCCACCGTCTTGCCGGCGGGCACGGTGAAGCTAACGTTTTGTAGCACCAACTTTTCCGGTGAATAGCCGAAGGTAACGTTGGAGAACTCAATGCCACCGCCGGCTGTCAGGAGTGGCGAGCAGCCCGGAGCATCCACAATCTCTTCCTCCTCCTTCAGCAGATCGAACATGTTCTCCATGTCCACAAAGTTCTTCTGGATGGCCCTGTAATAGGTGCCGAACCAATTGAGCGGCATGTACAGCTCCATGAGGTAGGTGGAGAAGAGCACAAAGTCGCCCACAGTGAGGGTCTGATGGTGAACCACCAAATAGACGCAGAGCAGCGATCCGGCCAACAGGCCAAGACAAAGGATTATATTCTGGGCGGTGTTTAGCATGTTGAGGGTGAGCATTGAGAGGAACTCCTCCTTTTGGTACTTCAGGATGGCCTCCCGGTAGCAGTCCACCTCGTAGTGCTCCGCTCCGTAGTATTTGACGGTTTCAAAGTTCAGTAGGGAATCTACGCTCCTAGCACGCTGCTCGTTGTCCGCCAGGTTCATCCTCCTCTGGTACTTGGTGCGCCACTCGGTGATTGCAATGGTAGAGGCTGTTAAATATAAGATTTTATTTATTTATTTATATAAAACAAACTTAAAGTTAAAACTATAAGCTAACTAACTAAGACTAACTTGTCGAATTAGATACATTTTTATTTATTATTTGAATTTAGATTTTGATTTTATGTTATATATTGCTTGTTTATTTACAATTTAAGAACTGTTTTGGTTTCGAAGTATCAAAAGATAATGATTTATCATAAAATTCGTTATCTAGCTTGGGGTTTATAAAAAGTTTTGATTACGCATAAGATTTTCCGTCACTTATCAGTAGACATCGGATCGTTTTTTTTAAATGCGATTTAAAGCCACATTTGATTGGTTAAAAATTTTATTTATTAAGATATAGATATAGATTTAGGCCAAACTTAATTGAGGTTTCTGTAAAAAAAGTGTAACCAATGAAATGTGTCTCTAAATCATATTTAAAAAAACGATTTACCTAAAATCCGATGTCTACTTAACACTGAATTGCTATTAATTACTAATGAATTAAATCCCTTACCTATATACAGGAACATGGTGAGGAAGACGATCAGGCCGAACCACCAATTGAAGGCGTATATAAAGTAAGCCACGGCCACCAGCAGATCCAGGATGGTGGGTGCAATGGAGAAGACAATGTAGTTAAGAAGATTATTAATAGAATCCGTGCCGCGATCCATGACACGCAGCACCTCGCCCGTTTTCCGCTGCAAGTGCCAACGCAGCGAGAGCTGGTGGAGATGCCGGAAGAGCTCGATCTCAATCTCCCGGGTGGTGTACTGCTGCACCCGAATCCAGAGGAAGGTGCGCAGGTTGTTGAACAAACCCATGCTGCCAGTGCCGCCGCCCTGGAGGAAGGACAATCCGACGTAGACCAGCACAAAGTCCCAGCGAAAGAGGATCGGCGCAATGGTGAGACTGTCCACTGTGGGAGGCAGGAGATTAGCAATGAATTACTCAACTTGAAGCAGCCCTGACCTACCCAACTTCTTGCGATAAATCGGCAAAAACAGCTTTATGACTCGGCCGGCCAGCAGCAATATAATGCAAACGATGACGGCGATCTGCAGGGCCAGATTCTTCCTGGGCCAAAGGTAGGGAAAGACTGTTCTTAGCTTGCGCCAGCCATTCCTGAAAGCCGATCCTGTCTGCACATTTCCCTGCGATTCGCTGGAGGAATCGTTGTCCAGCCGCTGGTGGGGATTGTAAGGGGTCATGATGCCAGGAGCCTTCAGGCCCAAAACGAAGATGAGCAGGGAGCAGAGGAACCTTGTGACAAAGAGGCCCATCTCTATTTGGTCCTTGTTACTGAGGAGAGTAAGAGATATACTAAATAATTTTGTTATAGATATATATCTCCTACGTTTTCAGGTGGAACCACCAGTCCTCGTGGCGCAGATTGATGAAGGCCAGCGACTCGTTGATGAAGGCCAGTGTCCAGAAGAGCAGCAGGATGAGGCCATGACCACGGGTGGGCATCGAAGGCAGCTGGTAGAACCGCTCCTTGAGTATCAAACAGATGCTGAAGGGGTACGAGAAACAAATGACGCAAGTGGAGAAGATCTGTAGAAAGGAGATAGCTTTACTATACACATGTTTCCCTAGAAGATTACCATCCAACTCACCATGTATCCATAGACCGCACTATCCGGATAAATACGTGCGTTCATGAGGAATCGCAGGGCGGCCAAAACCGGAAGCAGGAGCAAAAGGAAGAGTTGCAGGGCGAAGAGACGCGATTTGGAGATTTGCGTGGGATCCGTGATGCGGGTGGCGTACTTCCGGTACATCAGCAGCTGGATGCAGCCGAAGAGGAGCAGGAATCCGCCATAGACGGCCGGACCCACGGTGTCCATGAAGCAGTGCGAGATGCCATGCTGCGTCCACACCTCGCTGAGGGTCACGTTGGGCGGGCAGTACAACATGGTGTTCTCTATGAGACGGGTGGAAATAATTACTCAACGATAAGCTCTGATAGAAACGTGCCAGCTCTGTGACTGAAACAATTGCTTTGTTTTATGGGACTGCCGGGCAGCAATTTCGCAATTATTCACCCGAATTATCAGACGCCCCCAAAAGGGAAACCACTCTATTTTTTCCTCCAGGTAAGCGGTGTGCAAATTGCGATGTGTTGATTATATTTAATATAGCGTTTTTACAGCACGGCACCAAGGGATTCGGTGGATGGGAACCCGGTGGGGAAAGTGCAACTCATCCAGCCCATTGGATATGCTAAATTATGCAATGTTGCGTATGCTCGATGAAACTATCAAGGGTTTCTTAAGGGCCTCTTACCCGCTACGAAAGTCACGCACTGGAGGGAACACTGTAATCAGTTATGTGCCAGGTGATAACTCAATTAACGGAAAATCAGCGGACGGACAACTCCGGCCCGATCAACAAAAATAATCTTGGTCCAAGGGTTCAGTATGACTGTTTTCGGTTATCCATACAAAATACCCCTTTTGGAGCGGAAAGCGGGTGAGTTCAAATCTTAGTTCTTCATCAATTTTTATTTTTAAATTTTTATGGATTACAAATAATTTAAGAGGCGTTTAATAGACGTTATTCATTTATAAAATATATTTTTAATCGAAAACTGGTTAAAAAGTTGAATTCCCACCACTCGTGGAAAATTCTACAACCCACAAACGGTCACGCTACTTTCCACCCCTGATTTTCACTTTGGCGCTCAACTTGATATTTAAAATCGCAATTCTTATCTATCAGAAATTCTTTTTTCGAATTTTACTTATTTTCAAGGGTAGTTTTTTAATGGAAATGTTTTTGTTTTATTATTATTATTCCTGCGCGGATATGGGTACGGATATATCACCCCCCAGCGGTTAAAGGAATTTTGGCATTCAAAAATTGTTCTTCAAGTAAGACACAAATTGTTCTTGATTTAAGAAAATTGTTTTTAATGTTAAGGACAATCGGTATTGACACATTCCTATGATCAAACGTGTTTAACTTAAGAACATTTTTCACAATTTGAGACTGATTTGTTTCTCTACATCAAGTAGGCTTTTGCTTTAAACTTCAAGCTGACTCCCGTTGACTTTGCCTTCTAGACGACATTAGGACATTCGTCTTTGCACAGTCAAGTCGTCAACTTTTCCAAAAGCAGTTCAAAAAGTCGATTCGCTAAAAAATGATTCAGCTACTTATTTTTTGGGGTGTACCAATGATAGCGGCATTCGTCTATGTCTATTTAAATGTGCCGTCGTTAAAGAAGGGGATCCGCAAGATCAATCGCAGGACTGAGGTTCTCGCCGTGGAGCAGAGGATCAAACAAATGATTGAAGCTGGCCGGGAGAAAAGACCCCATGACGAGGAGCTGGTGGCCCTTGGCGAGGAGCTCTTGACGAGCTTCCGAGAGGACGTGATTGAGCAGTACAATAGAGAAGATGGAAAGAAAACCCGGGCAAACGGTAAGTCATTGTTATTTGTGAATTCTGGGGCTGACATTACCTAGTAATCCGAATATATCAGGAAATGGATGGAATTCAAAGACTGGAGTCGCATCTCGGACATAGGTTCTCGAGGTAGCACCCTTCCATCCAGCTGTTTAGATCGCTGATCCTGAAGGATGACTTATGTACCCCTATGTTGCGGAGAAAACCTAAAGGGATTTTTATACAACAATAAAAATACATCTAATTAATCCAGCTTTACCTTACTTTGAACTTATTTAAAAAACTAATAGACATGTAGATTTCATGAATTAAAATTTTACTAAAAAAATAGCATAGGCAAAAACATGAAATAATAAAAAGAAAAATAATTTAATTTGAAAATTAAATTAAATTAAATTAAATTTGAAATTGTTTACTTCATTGTTCCTGGGGAAGCTACATATATGCGCGAATTCACAAGAGGTGATATATCATCCTCTATTCGGGTAAAAAATAATAATTGTGTCCTAGATCCTCCACCGTTATTATTACATATTTATATTTCTCAGTTAAAGACTTAAAAACATTACCGAACCCTTTAAGAAAACCCATCTTAATTACATTGGAATATATATAGTTCATATAGATTTCTTTATTCGTCAATTTTCAAAATAAATATTCATGTTCGTCTAATACTTTACACACAAGAAATATTCAGAAAAGTTCTACGTTTAACCCTAGGTAATATCTACTCTATGCTAGTTGTCTGAGTTTGGAGAGAATGGATATATTCAAAGCACAAGGAACAAATTGATTGGTAGTAAATTGCTATTTACATCGAGTGTTTTTTTTTGAGGTTTGTTAACATGTAAAATTCGCTACTTATGAGTTAAAGGGAAAAGGGAGGAAAAAGAGGTCTAAAAAACATTTTAGAAGAGTTCCCGTACGAATTTCGAATTTGATTCGGTCGCGACTATCGACTAACCACTAACTTGTTCAACTTGGGTTTAACTTATTATCACAAACAAGTACATTTAATATGCATATGATTACAGTGGACTTGGTGAGGGAGTGTCCGCCTCCTCCCCCCCCGCATACAGCTATGAGTTGATCTTGGCCAGCAGCGGCTGGGTGACGGCACTGCCCGCCACCGGTGGGCACTGCTGCTTGTAGCTCTTCACCAGGAACCCGTAGTGGTTGCTGCTCTGCTCCGCCGGAATGTTCTGGCCACTGCTGCTCCGCTGCGGACTCGAGGTGTTCACCATGGGAATCGTCGGAGGAGGAGCAGCCGGAGCAGCAGGCAGCAGTGGCGTCTCATCCCCCTCGGCGAACTTGATCCTTAGCTGGCCACTGCTGCCCATGCTGCCGGTTTCGGGCCCCGGAGAGGCATTCATCTCACTCCTTGCGCCCGTCAGCAGCGTTGAGATCGTGGGCGAGGGCTTCAGGCGACTCCGTTGGCTGCCACCGCCAGGCGGCTGCAGGATGCCGCTCAGATTGGAGCTGGAATTCGAGTGCACATAGCCGTGGCTATTGTTGTTGTTGAGGTGATGGTGGCTCTTCAAAGCTCCGCTCAGCGGCAGCCGGAAGTGGGCCAGCTCCCAGCTGTCGGAGGTCTCCTCCATGTCCCTCAGGCTCCGGCTGCTGTAGATGTCGCAGTTTCTATGGGCGTCGCCGATGCATCCAGGTAGGGATTCTCAGTCTTTTGGTAGTCGAAACCCCCGCCGCCATTCAGCTTGGGTGAGCTGGAGCTGATCTTGCGTTTCACGCGGAGATTGGGCGAATCCTTGGACGGCGGCGGCGGCGGCGGTGCTGGCAGGGCGATCGCCGGTGCAGGCGGCATCTGAGGAGCCACCATCAGCTCGGAGTGCTGCTTGTGCAGGTGATGCGACTGGCTGCGCTGCGGCTGCTTCAGCGAGGAGCGGCGCGTGAGCATCAGTTTGCTGGGCGAGATCAGGGCGTCGGGGCGTGGCACCTCGCCCTCCAGCCAGTAGGTGAGCATCTCGCCCTTGCCCTTCATGGGCACAAATCCCCGTCGGGTGGTCACGAAGGTGCCGAACTCATCGAGCGCCTGCTTGGTGGTCTCACTGATGTGGATCTTCAGTGCCTCCCCATTGGACTCCATGCGGGAGGCCGTGTTGACGGTGTCGCCAAAGAGGCAGTAGCGCGGCATCTTGAGACCCACCACCCCAGCCACACAGGCTCCGGTGTGCAGGCCTATACGCAGCTTCAATCGATCCTCCGGCCGATGGTGGATCCGGAAATTGTGCACCGCCTCCAGGAGGGCCAGTGCCAGACGGGCTATCTCCCGGGCATGCTGATTGCCATTCCGGATGGGCAGACCGGACACCACCATATAGGCATCGCCAATCGTCTCCACCTTGTACACATCAAAGCTCTCCACAATCGAATCGAAGCAGGTGTACAGATCGTTGAGGAACTGCACCACCTGCATGGGCGTGCTCTCCGCCGAGATGGCGGTGAAGCCAACGATGTCGCTGAAGTAGATGGTCACCTGGTCAAAGGTCTCCGCCACCACCGGCTGTCCGCTGATCAGCTGGGCGGCCACGCTCTGCGGCAGCAGCTGGTAGAGCAGCTTCTCGCACTTCTTCTTCTCCTCGTGGTAGTCCTGGGTGCGCTCCTCCACCAGCTCCTCCAGATTGTTGGCATACAGCTCCATGCGCTTCAGCAGGTTGTCCACAATGTTGCCCGTTTCGTTGTCCCTAAAGGATTATAAAAACACAAGTAATAAGTGATTAAATTGGATTTAACTTAAATTTATTATCCACCCACTTATTAAACCTCCGTATCATGGACTTTAGGGTATTGAAGTCCGGACGCTCGGCAGGATCTTCGGCCCAACAACGACGGATGATGCCATTGATGTCCGCCTTGGTGTCGCAATTGGGTTCGAGTTCCGGCCTGAATGGTTTCTGCATTCTTAGCGGACTATAACCCTTGACCAATTCGATGATTTCTGTGAAAGATTAGAGAAAAAAAGGAAAAAAATAATTTTTTACTATGGTCAATAATTGTTCTATCCCTAAAGAATTCGCGGCGTCGTTGTGTTAAAGAATTCAAGATATAGGTTATTACAAATTGCCACCATAAGAGAGATATTTTTGACTTTTTTTTTGTTTTAATCGCACATTAACATTTATTTTTAGACTTCTATTATAAAAGTCACGGAATAAAAGTTACGGAGACATTTATTTTTTTTGCATTTAAAAAAACTATTATCCTCTGACCAAATTTTAAAAAAGGTAACAATTTTTAGGTCATTGATTTATGATTTTTTTCTCAAATTTTTAGTGTTATCCTAGGCGTATGATTTTTTCGAAAAAAAAAAAAAAATTTTAATAAAAAAAAAATAAAAAGTTAAAAAAAGTTAAAAGTTAGAGGAAGAGTAATCCTTGAATAAGACTTCGATTCCAGAATTCATTTAGTACCAGTCGGTTATGTAAATTATTCGTGTTAAGTGTAGTTTTATGTCAACACCGGACGAGACCTAGGCGGATTCTGGATTCTGGACACTGGACACTTGAACACGGCGGCGGAAATGTGCACCGGGAAGGAATATCTGGAGCTGGTCAGCTTGTTCGTGCAGGCCAAGCCTCCCAAGTCCCAAGAGCTGAGGCCTTGCCACCAGCATGAGCTGCTCCTGCAACTTCTCGGCCGCCGCAAGGAGCCGCTAACCAAGGGACAACTGGCGGATCTACTCTGGAACGTGACCAGTGGACCAACGAAGAGGAAGAAGTCCTCGAAGGGCAGGAGGCAGTGTGGCGGCATGGAGCAGCAGCAGGAAACGGAGCCCACCGATATCGAAGTGGTGTTTGGCTGCCGCGAGAAGACGCCACCCTCGTCCATTGGCCACCGAGGCTGGGGAAGATCACGCATCGAGTGGCTGCGCCAGCTGGAGGCCCAGCAAATGCAATGCTACCACGCCTGGCAGGAGCGGGCAGCCAGAGTCCAGGCAGGTAGCGCCACTGCCCACAAAAAGGACAAGGAAGAGAAACCCAGGAGCAGAAGGAAGCTGCCGAGCCTCTGGGCCCTGATGCCCTTCAGCTGTGGCTGGGACCTCGCCCACGATGCCAGCTGCCAGGACGTGACCCACCGCAAGAAGAGATGAGTTTTCGACCAGCCTGCACTTTGATTTCGATTTGCCGAGCGCGCCGGGACCGCAATTAAATTCGTCTGCAGACACAACTCTCGACAAGTGCCAGTTGCCAGTTGCCAAAGTTGCATTCTGCGGCTGACGAGGGGTACTCGTCTGTTCTGATTCCCTTAGCCCAGTCACGGCCTAATTTGATGAATTCGTCAAGTGCCAACTCGAAGACCAAGTTTTTGGGCGCCAATTGAAATCGGCGCGATGCTCGAAGTTGGCCTTTCAACCAGGCATTGAGTGCATCAACTTTAAAGTAGCGATTTAAGACAGTAGAAAAGGGTTTTAATTTTTATTTAGATACCGAAAGTTCAATTAAATTGTTTGGCAAACTGAAAGCTGAGATTTAAATACGTTTTTAATGATCTTAAATATGTTTTGCCTTCTAGTATTTGATTATAAACAAAATGCTTGGCATTCTGCAGAAAGCTAAGTGATAGCTTTTACTTCCAAGGGTAATTTGCGCCCTTAACCACATCCCCAACCTCAACTGACGGTCGGAAAAACCGCAACATGTGCAAAAATCTGGCATTAAAATTCCGCACAGACAAAATCGGCCGCAACACGAAAACGGCCAAGCGAAAGGGACAAAGGGTCGAAGGACCAAGGATGGGAAACACTTGCATAGCATACCTTGCGGCGACTTCTCGTACGCACACCTGCCCAGGTAAAAGGGACCTTGTCGAGTGGTTATCTCGTGAACAATGATTCCGAAGGCGTAGACGTCACCCTTCTGGGTTCCCTCGGGCGCCCGATTGTGCTCCACTCTCAGCAATTCGGGGGCGGTCCACAAGAGCTCTGCACAAAGAAAAATATATTTCATTTTAATTATATCATTATCTAAAATACTGAATAGTTAATGTATAGTAAGAAAATATTTTCTTTAAGAGTTTAAAAAATGTGTATCTTAAAAAAATTATAGTTCTACCATTTAAAGTTCAGGTTTCTCGTCCGCATATTAAATTTAAAGAAGGTATTAAACCTCGAAAATGTATAGGAATTCAGAGTACGAGAAAACGGACCTAAGTAAGGTATATTTTAGGGAAAGTAATTTTTGTGTAAGAGATTAAAATGGGACTTTTAGGTAAAATTGAATTTTAATTAATAAAAATAATAATGAAGAATAAGGCATTATTTTAAAAAATGGTCTTTGTAGGTACTTTTTTTTTTTTAAGATTTGAAAAAGAAAAAAATTTTTCTCTAAAGATAAATATTTTTAAATTGCGATTTCTTTAAGTGCACTAAGCTGCACTTCAAACTTTGACTACTTAGTACTTACTGCTCCAGTAGGCGTGGCTGTTGCAGTTGCCCCCGTCGCTCTCCAGGTCGAATCTCGTCCGCCGCAGGGTGTGCAGCCCAAAGTCGGTGATCTTGAGCACGAACCGCGAGTCCACCACGCAGTTGGAGGACTTGAAGTTGCCGTGGGAGCGGATGTCGGAGCTGTGGAGGAACTGCATGCCGCGCACGATGTCGTGCATGAGGGACAGGCGAAACATCCAGTCCAGCTGGAACTGCTCGTTCTCGAGGATGTCCTGCAGCGATCCCTTGGGGCAGTATTCGGTGAGCAGGAAGCTGCGTCGCTGGTCCAGACAGGCGCCGTAGAACTTGACCAAGTGGTCGTGCTGCAGATCCTTCATCCGCTTGAGTTCCAGCATCAGGCTGCGCGTTAGAAGCGCCTGGACATTGTCCACCTCCACCGGCTTGATGGCCACCTTGCTCTTGCGGAACATGCCCACCGGGATGAAGATCTGGCGGTCTCCGTTGATGGACACCATGTCCTCGGACATCAGCGTCAGCTGCGAGCTCTGCTTCACCAGCGAATGGAAGGAGCCGCGCAGTCCGCGCTCCGCTGCATCCCGGAACATCACGTCCTCCAGCGACACCTTCCAGCTCATCGAGTTGATCTCCGCCTCGGCGATGTAGTGACGGTAGCCGAAGAAGAAGCACACGGCCATCACGATCACCATGGTGCCCAGCACAATCGAGAGGATCGCATAGCCGGGAAGGGCTAGGAGATGGGTTCGAAATTAGGTTAGGAACATATTTATTATGGCAATTTATTTCCATTAAACCTATACATTGCTAGTTAGAGATGTCTGATGTGAAGAAAAAGTAATTATTTGTCTAATATCTACCCACATACCAAATTTCATATCAATCGGACCAATATTTAATTTTCTTTTACTACTAAATCTTACTAGTTAGAGAGGTCCGATCTAAAGACAAATTCATTATTTACTTAATATCTACCCACATACCAAATTTCATATCAATCGGACCAATATTAGATTTACTTTTACTACTAAACCTTACTAGTTAGAGATGTCCGATATAAAGACAAATTCATTATTTAGCTAATATCTGCCCACATACCAAATTTCATATAAATCGAACCAATATTAGATTTACTTTTACTAATAAACCCTGCTACCTAGAGATTTTCGATCTGAAGACAAACTAATTATTTACCTTATATCTGCCCACATACCAAATTTCATATCGATCGGACAAATATGGGATATAATTTCAATACTTACAATTATCTGGACACATTGCACCATCGTAGCCGCAGGTGGGTCGATCCGGAGGCGCCTCCTCGCGGTCGCCCGCCCAGTGGATCTCCTTGTTGGCCTCGAACTCCAGGCGGTTGTGCAGGAAGTGGGCCACGATCTCGAATCTGCCGGTGGTGGGATTCATGTCCAGCAGCGAGTAGGCGGATAGCCGATCCCCGTTGGCATCGATGGTCACGTTGCCGGTGATGCCGGTGAAGCTGCGGTTCCACATCCGCCTGACCATATCGGTGCCATTGATGGGTCGCGTCAGCATCGTCGGATCCTCCCGGATGCTCTCGTTCAGGGCATTGGCGTAGAGGAGGACTCCGTCGAAGAAGGAGGTGACGAATGCCGAAATCGGCTCGTTGTCGCTGAACGTGTAATTGTATTTCTCCGCGGCGATGGCTTTGATCTGTAAATGGCAACGCATTAATCTCCCTTCAGCTGGCAGTCAACTCCCCTTTTTCACCCCTTTCCTAATCCCTATTCCATGCATCGCCGAGGGGCATCAATTCCTGTCCACTTTCCCAGCGCTTTTCCTCTTTAATTGCTTTGGCCCCCGTGAAAATTCAATTACGCGTTCGTTCGCTCGGAATGGAGAAAGGCAGGAAGACGACGAGGACGACGACGTTTTGTCACAATCCATGTGGAAATTATTGCACACCGCACTCCGAAGTGCCACTGGCGGATTTCGCTGGCCATTCTCCTTTGACAAGCGGCGTTGCCGGGATTTGGAGACCGGAGCTGCGGTTGCAAATGTCCATTGAGCGTAAGTTTTGCGCCAAGAAAGCCGACAATTTAAGCTGCCTTTCTTAAAGGCTGCCATTGGAAAATGTGAATGGATTGTAAGCCAGTTGGCCACCTGAGTTCTGGCGGCTATTGGCAGATGAATACACTTAGAAAAGTTGTTACTACCCTAGTAAGGGAAATGTTTCCGAGAAAAGTTAATTTATAGATGAAAGAAATTTCTCAAAAAGTGGGAGGGACTTGAACTTATTAAATGGATTAATTTTGAAACAAAGAAATTTTAATCTAAAATGCTTTAAAAAGCTTTCTGTTTAACCCATAAATTCTATTTAAATTGGAATTCAAATCGGAAGGCAATAAAACTTATTTTGTGTTCAAACCAAAGAAATTTATAATGGTTTAAATCTAAAACTCAATTTCCTAATGTGTATTATGTATTCTATTTTTAGAGCCATAACTAGTAAGGCCTCAATATAGTGGATCATTATATTTATCTCTCTAGGAGATTCTCTTTAAATTGGAGATTCACCTATTTAAACCTGAAACTCGCAGAGTAAAAGGGTATTTTGTGTTCAAACCAAAGAAATTTATAGGGAAAGGAAGGTTTACCCCATAAAGTCTAAAACTTGACAAATTTTCTAGCCGATGTCGTTCTAGCATGTCGTCTGTCCGTCTATCTGTCGCGTCCGCTGTCTGTCTGTAGAACGCTGAGATCTCAGAAACTATAAAAGCTAGAAGATTGGCATTTTGCATGAAGATTTTAAATCCTACGCAGCGCAAGTTTGTTTCAAAATGGTGCCACGCCCCCTACCCCACCATCGCTTATATACGATTTTAAAAACTTTAATATTTTGGAAAAGTAAAAATGCAGTTTTATTGTGTTTATCAATACCTATCGAAATGTAGAAGAAATTTTCAAATCGGACCATTCGTTTAAAAGTTATGCTGATCAACGTTTATCTATCTCCATTCTCCCTCCCCCCCTCCCTTTACCTGAGTACCTATAAGTATTCTGATAGTCGGGGCGTCCGACTATAACGTTCCCTCTTGTTTTATCTTTGTATTTTGGGCCAAAATTGTGCTAACTTGGCTAACAGAATGCCAAACACAGGAGCATCATCAACATGTCGTAAGCATTTCCTCGCCTCCTCTCCATGGACTAAGTATCTAACAGATAGGTGGAGAGGGGAGTCGAGTGTCATTAGCGAGACGGACTGCAGTCCAAAGAAGCCTGTTTAGAGGTGGTCACCCCCCCAGATTCCATTCCCACTTCCCAGGCTGCTTATCAGCAGATAGAACAGCAAATTCATTCGGTTTTCAGGTGGCTGGGCCGGCTTTTCGAGGGCTCTTCGGTTTGAAGTTGCCCAGTTGCCATTTGGCTCTCAGGTGTTGTCGGCTTTGTTTGTTGCAAATTTACCATGTATCAACAGACCCTCCTCCCAGTCCACCGCCTGTTGCGATGCAAAATAGGCTGCGGTTGAGAAGGGAACGTGCACTGGAATTGAGTATGCATGAGGCTCTGGCCAAAAAAGGTGCGCATAAAGGTAGAAAAACAAAAGAAATCTGCAAAAATTTTCAAATTGGCTTCCACATCCATTTCCATGCAAATGCAAATGCAGCTTCCCTTTGCAGCTTTTCCTGCTGCTGCTCCCTACTTTTCCCCATTTCCCAATCCCAAACCACTCTGCACTTACCTCATTGGAGACCCGGGTGTACTCGTTGTCATTCGGCTGTTTGGGAGTTACGGTCAGCATGGCGGTATAGGCCTTCTGGGCACGCTCATTATTCAAATCCGTGTCGTTCTTATCGTACCAGGGCTGCGATGTCAGGTATTGAACCCTTTGGGGGTGAAAATAATAATAAATTAAATCAGTATCTCTGGATCAACATGCAAATACAGGATGAACTTATGATGTATGAATTGTAAAGAAATTTATTCATAACGATTTTATTCTAGAGCTTGAAATAATATCGATATTATCGAATCGATTTTGTCAAAATATCGAAATTATCGATTATTTTCAAGCTCTATTTTATTC